TAATTTGGTACTTAAGAAAAATAACTGTGTGTCAGGCATTCCTGCTGGAGAAATGTTCCAAGGAAAGTCAGGTCCAGATAAAACAGCCATTTCAACTGCGCTGACGCAGGAAGACTCCGGTTCACAGTTCTTTGTTAGTGGCTTTATCTGGGGTAGCTTTAAGGTTCTAAGACTTAAGCTGTCAGTTTTTCCATCTTTTCTCAAGTTTCTAAAAATATTTTTTAAAGTGGTTTTAAGTTGACATACAAAAGAAAATTCATCATTTTAATTCGCTGGCAGACTATTGTGTGTCAGTTGCATGATAATCTGAAAACAGAAATCCTTCTTCAGTGAGAGATTTTTTAAAAAATTATTCACATGGAAGAAAGCTAACTAGCCCTATTCAAAAATAGGGTTTTATTGCATATTATAGTATTATTAGTGTCGACTTATCCTTATTTGCACCTTTAGTCTGTAAACTGAGATCGAATCTAGCTACTCTTAAGCAAAGAACACCGTGTGGAGGTTTCTTATGTAAATCCCACCTAAAATCTGCCAAGAAAAAAAAAAACATATGGGAGCTGACAGCATGACGAGCATGTGTATGCTTCAGTGCGCATGCTCCAGTGCGCGTGCTCCTGGGACGGTCCGTGGGAGTCTGATGAAAGCCTGGGAAAGAGCAGAAACAATGATTAACCGACACAGGCTGTGAATCAATTACCTCCATCCAACAGATCCGATATCAAAGCGAGCCGATGTCACTCCGTCAGAACTACAGCCCAGTAACAGATGACGGCGCCATGGCCAGCTTCCTCTCAGAGTGTTCCACCTGTGGGTAGGGAAGTGATTGAAAGACGCTTAGAGACTCGGGCACTGGCATCCAGGTCTTGGTGCTCCCTCTTCCTGGGCCCAGCAGACACTTCTGATCTCAAATGCTCCCTGGTAACGCAATGTCTAACAAGCATATATGAGCCGAAGTTTTGCCCCTCCATCCCAGCCACACAGAAATGTCCAAATGTGGCTTTTTAATTATCGAGCACCATATGTTTAGTAACAGATGAAGACCCAGAAATCTTTGGAAGGAGAGATGTTTACAGGGCTATGAGGCTAAATTGGAAAAATGTAAATTGGTTGTGATTGAGTAAGTATCTCTGCTGGGCTTTGGTTCTTCCAAAGCAACCTTATCTTTCCTCTGTGATGGAGAAAGGCGTAAAGACGGAAAGTTCCCCTCATCTAAGTAGCTTACCTTTTTATGTGGGAAACAAGCTACATATCATTTTAACAATGGCTTTGTTTCTCTGTGAAGTGTGTCCTTTGTGTCTGCCAGGTACACTGTGGCCAGCATTCTGTGGTTGGAATAAAACCTGTAGAGTCCAATCTTGTGGTCTGTGCTTTGGCGTAATTATGAAGGAATGAGAGACGTAAGACTAGCTGGGAGGTTCAAAGATTCCATCTACTCTGTGTGTGTGTGTGTGTGTGTGTGTGTGTGTGTGTGTGTGAATCAGAGAGGAGATAGCGCTGGGATGTGCCATCCTGTACGATACCCTGTCCTTGTATAATCTCAGTGTCTGGCCCACTAATCTGAAAATGCTAGGCATTCAATAAGTATTTGTTGATCTAGTTACTGTTTGTATACTCACAGTCTTTAAAATAGCAGAGACTGTGGGGCTGGAGAGCTGGTCCAGTGGTTAAGAATGCTTACTGCTCTTGCAGAGGACCCAGGTTCAGTTTTCAGCACCCACGTGGTGGTTACATAACAACCTGGAACTCTGTGTCCAGGAGATTTGACACTCTCTTCTGGTTTCCAGGAGTACCAGACACACATGTGATACACACACACACGCATGCAAATGGACACTCGTGTGCATAAAATAATCTTAAAGACAAAACCAAGAAGCTCCAGGGGATTAACACAGGAGTAACTGTTCAGGCCTTTCTGTGGGTGGCCTTGCTGCAGGTAGTGACCCAGGCATCTTCCCATCTAGGACTCTTGTCGTCCTCTGGTTGTAATTGTTTTATACTCTATACTTTCCTAACAGCTAAACACAGAGCAAGAGGAGCATGTTTTGAATATTTAATTCTAGAAGGTGTGCCTCACTTTTTGGGTCAAAGTCATGCTGTTAAGAACTATTCACATGGCTCCAAAGACATGAGAGGGCTTGGAAGTGCAGTCTGTCTCATTGAGAAAGATAAGACTCTCTCAATGAGTGAGTTTTGGTGAGTATCTAGCCAAGCTTTGTCATGACAGAAACCTGATAAAAGTATAATAAGGAGAACAATCAGACAGAGTAAGAGAAGCCTGGGCCACGTGATATGTGTTAGTCAGTGGTCATAAACAAAAACCCAGAAAGACCAAGGCCAGTGCAGTCACATGCAGCAGATGAGCAAAAGTGAAGGGTCAGTCCTAGAAAATGAAGACCCGGCTGGGCCATGGTGGCACTCGCCTTTAATCCCAGCACTTGGGAGGCACAGGCAGATGAGTTTATGTGAGTTCAAGGCCAACCAGCTCTACAAGAGCTGCTTCCAGGACAGGCTCCAAAGCTACAGCGAAACCCTGTCTTGAAAAACCAAGAAAAAAAAAAGGAAAAGAAAAAGAAAGAAAATGAAGTCTGGGGCCAGGTAATTTCTGAGTCTTCAAGGACTGCTTAAGTATTGCTAGGAAAAGGAAGTGACTTAGGAAGCTGGGGTTTGGGAAGGTATCCGTGAGAGGGTCAGATCCATAGCCCATTTCCACAGTTAACCATTGAGTGACTGTAAATCTCTGAATTTCAGAAAGATGACATTTGTTAGTTATGAGTCGCATAAGCTTAAAGCTACATGGTACATAATCATGCTCGTATCTTTCATTGGTCAAACACCAATTGTTTGCCAGGTACTACACACACATGCATGTGCTCACACATGTGTGCATGTACACACACACACACACACACACACACACAAAACATCTCTTACTCTTTCACTCTTTCCTCAATCTACTAGTTTTCCTTACTGTTCATGAAAAAAGAAAATTTAGAGAGGTTGTCTTGCCACACATTCCATGAGTGATAAAGCTAGGATCTGAGCACAATAAATCCAACCCTCTAGCCCAGGGTAAAATGCAGTAGCATCTTTGCCCACATACCCTGTAAAACACATGCATATGTAAAATGAATATTTAATAACACCGTGCATCAAATAGCCATTGTTGCATAACAAACCTCCCCAAAATATAGTGCTTTAAAAACAATTTGTCATTATTTCCCACAGAGCCGTAGGTTGGCCGGGCAGTTCTGCTGATGTGGGCTAAACTTGGCTGGCTTGGGATACTGTCTTGCCTGTATCTACAAGCAGCCAGCAAGTTGACTGAGGGATTGTGTGATCCACAATGGCCTCGGATGGATGTTTTGGCTTAGTTCCCCTTGGTTTCTCCTCCACCGGGGGTTTAGCCCTGTGTTATTCACAAGATGATGGCAAACTTTAAGAAGAAACTAAAAACACACCAGACGTCTTGAGGGCAGGCTCATCATCCTTGCCTTGTTGGCCCAAGAAACCACAAGACTAGCCCTTATTCATAAGCAGGAAAGGATGACCCATTTTCTGAAGGGAAGTGCGGAAGAGCCATTTTCCCAAAGACCTGGACAGAAAGAAGGACAGAGAATAGAGCCTTTTTTTTTCCTTTTGGAATCTTACTACATCTAGTATCTTCAGACATTTTTCCTATAAAAATAAATTTAAAAAAGCAGATGGAAGAACAGAATGCCATCTAAGATGTGGCTGCAATGGTTAATCTTTTTGTCCCTTGGCTAGGTTTAGACATACCTCTGAGTGTGCCTCTGTCGGTGGTCCCAGAGAGAACTAACCGAAGAGGGAAAACCAATTTAAAAGTATGTGGCACCATCCCAGGGGCTGGGATTCCAGACTGAACCAAAGACTCAAGCTGAGAGTAGAGGACAAGCACCAGCCCACTCTCTCTCTGCTTCCTGGTGTATGGGACCCACGAGCACCCTGCCATCACCAATGGCACCGGTCCCCCATTCCGTGCCTTCCAAACCACGGTGGATGCTCTCCCAGCACTGTGGGCCACAACCATCCTCTTCCAGCTCATGTTGCTTTGTGTCATGTGGTTGATCCCAGTGACAAGAAAAGTAACCGCCACAATGGCTTTCCTAATTAGTGCAGCAGCACGTGAATCCTCTAAGCAGTCTGTGCCGCTCATTCCCATTGGCCTATGAAGTGTAGGAAAGGACAATGCATTAAGTGGGTAAGTAGCTCTTTTATTTCAGGAGGCAGGGCATGAAAATAACCGTGTGCTCAGGCACATGAATAGCTTTGCAGTAGAAGATTTTTTTAAAAGGCAAAAGAAAACTGAAAATTTGACTTCCTGTGTGCCCTGCAGAGGAAAGGGGGTGAGGGAAGAAACTGTGAATGTGTGATGAGCAGCTGGCTTTTATTTTTAAACACATATTATTGCTACACAGATTGTGTGTGTGTGTGTGTGTGTGTGTGTGGTGTGTGTGTGTGTGTGTGTGTGTGTGTGGTGTGTGTATGAAGGGGAACTTACTAAGGAACCCTAGCAAGCAGGAATATCATTTCAAGGGAGTGCTAATGGGATTGGCTGGATCTTTTCAGAATAAAGTGAGTCTCTTTCCCCCTTCAGTATATGAAACGGAGGAAAGAACCGGCAAATGCTGAGAGGAGCGAGTGCTGCAGAGTCTCCCTAGGTGGCCAAGAGGCATTTGGAGCCCCTGAACTGGGGCTTTAGTCACTGGGAACAGATCATCCTACAGGGAAAACATCAGGGCTGCTCATGTGGGAGTCTTCAGCGTGTGAGCCTGTTGACACTGAAGACTGTAGCCAGAGGGAGGACAAGGTCACTGTGGGAAGTAAGGTACTGAAGGGCTACTACCGTGAGCTAGACAAGTCTGAGCAAAATAAAAGTGTAATACTCCCAGAACCACAGGGAGCAGGGACCAAGCACACCCTGTTCCCAATGACCACCGAGGAGGGAAGTCAGAAATGGTAAGGCAGTGGACACACAATCAAGTTGTTTTGTAGGGGTTTTGTTCTTATTTATTCATTTACTCTGGTGGAGATGGGAGGTCCTGTCAACTGAAGGTGAAGGTCTGTGCACTCTGACCAAGTGCTGTATCCCCACCCTCTTCCTGCTTCCTCCTTGGCCATCCTGAAGGTCTTCCAGTGACTGACTTACCGAACCTATCGCTCTCACCAAGGCTCAGTGGGAAAACTGTCTAGGAAGGTGAGGCAGGCAATGAGCAGTCATGACCACAGGGAGCTGTGTCGAAAGAGAACTGAATGCAGCTGAGGGTGGGAGAGGGCCCTGTGCAAACCAACAAGAAGCCTGTGGGCTAGACCAGCCTGCTGGTGTTGATCCATGGCCTCTGCTCCACCACCTTTGAACTGTCAACAAAACCAGCCCCTCTCACCCTTGTTCCAAATCAACACAAAGAGTCAACATGACTTTTTTCTAATTACAGGTTTTACTCTTCTTTCTGGAAAAAAAAAAAAAGTTAAAACAGTGTTGCCAAATTATATGTCAATCTCAAGAAGCCCGTGGATACATGATTGTCAATACTGAATTGTCTGTGGATACATGATTGTCAACACTGAAATGTCACCTGAGGTTTTTTCATGTAGCTGAGCACACACATCAGGAAGACAAAATATGTATTTAGGGGTAAGAAAGATGTTGAGACCTCCTGTTTTCTCTTGAAACATGAGATTTAAACAAAAAGGTTATTGTTTTTATGAGTTATATAGGTAGGATTTAAGTAATGCAGTTGCGAAGACAAAGTATAGCTAGAGACCAGCATGGTTCAGCTTTTGCACAATGTCGACGGAAACGGCAGCAAACAGACCCACGCTAGCATACACATCCTCCCGTAAAGTAAATACAGAGAAACCCGCTATCTTTCTCACTTAAAAATCACTGGAAACATGACTGTGTTCTTCTCGATACATTTCCCCACCACACCCCAGAGCATATCTGGATTTCTGTCAATGCTATTGGAGAAACAGCGACTTTCATTTGTTTTCTTAAGAAAGGACCTTACTGCCTTCCAGAGTGCCTCAGACTGGCCTGGAGTGCACGATGCCCTGGTGCAGATTCTCAAGTCCTGGGGTTACAGGCTCATACCTCCTCAATAGGATTTCTGTACCTTGATAGTAGGTGTCTCTGCCAATGCCATAAGCCGGACCAAACCGAATTGAAAAAGTAAAAGATCAGGTTTATTTTGAGCAAAGCAACTTCCGGGTGAGTTCTCCATCTCCAGAGATCAAGGTGGGAGTAGGGGCAGGAGAAATCACATGACCGAATTAAAGCAGGCTTCTTACCTACCCTGTAGCTGAGGGGTGATGACTTGTTCTCCACAAGCTGGCAAACTTTAGGTGGAGTTTGGAGAAGGAGCTACTGTGGGCACCAAGAATCCAAACTGGGCTTTTTGAAGCCTTCCTTTTTGTGCAGATTCTCTGAGAGGGTGGGGTTTGGAGAGACAGGAACGGGCTTTTGCAGGAGCTGGAAGTTCCAGTCCAACACTCCTCACCTGGTGACCCAGAATTTTGTGATGTTCTGTATTAAGTCACAACTGGAAATGTCCTCTCACGGATTGATAGGCATTTGGGTAAAATTAGGGCCATTCGTCTCCATTTTTGTTCATTTTGTCGGCGCTAACATTTGATCCGCTTTGACTCTTGAAAGTCTCTGAAGGAAGTCTCCAGCCAGCATCAGCCCTGACAGGGACGGGGTGATACCCTCAGAAATAAGGTTGTGTTCAGAATCTCCGTCTGCTCACAGATGCCATCGGCTGATTGCTGACACCTTCTGATTGAGATAATTTTAGGTCAGTGTGCTTTCCCCAGACTACATCTAGCAAAATAAATGATAAAGGGTTTGTCCTATGAGGAGCCCTGTGGGCTGATTACTGGCTTTGGGAATGTTCTTGAGAAAAAGCACTTCTGTTTCCAACACACACTCTCTCTCCTCTCTCTAGCACACACACACATACACACAAACACATACCAATCAAACAATCACCATGTTACTTAGTCTTTCAGAAAATATCTAAGGTGATGGAGGTGGGACAATGTCCATAACGTCTTAGCAAAACCTGTTTGTCTGTCCCCTGCCCTCTGTTTTGCACACTGGCAGCAGCTGTGGTTCTAGGCTGTTGCCTGGTCTCTGCTCCTCACTACAGGAGCCTTTCCCTGACACGCACCTGGCTCGGGGTCTCCCACTCATGTCAGTGGCTGACAGTCCACTGTCTTCTCTCCACATTTGTCTTCCTCTCACATTCTCTCTCTCTCCAGTCTCTCCTGGCAACCTGACGCCCCCATTTGTGCTCCTCGGAGTACAGTCTGATCTTGTGCCCCTCCTCGCCTGAATTGTTTTTCTTAGGAAAATCTGCCCATTGCTCAGATTCTGCCAAAAGGGAAGTCCAGGTGCTGGCAACCACAGGGCAAGAACCCTCCCTTCTTAGAGGGCAAAGAAGCTGGAGAAAGCCGGTGCGAGCTGTAGTCCTTCCTAATTACCATGCTTGCACAGCTGCGTCTTGTCCCGTGTGCCACCCTGTGGAACTGCACAGCCGCATCCAAGCCCTTCTATGCTGCGGGAATGCAACGCTTCTGAGACATGGCAATTTGCATGTGTGTTTCCATGAGAACTTGGTGGTTGGAAAAGACAGGCTCAGAAACAAGGTCAGCTGTTGGAGCTTTGCCTCCCTAGGAAACAGAGAAACAGGCCAATACTAGGACTTCACTAAGTGGAAAGAAAACACATTTTGAGTTAATTTTGGACGTGTCCATCTATAACCTGTCTTGATGATTCATAAACTAATTTCAGAGAACAATCAATCCTCTGGGTTGTGAAGTGGGACAGGGCTGGGCTGGGTAATTCTTCTGCCTGTCTGGCTTCGCCTGAGAGAAGTCACCTGAATTCAGTGGATAACTGGTCTTCCATAGAGGAACCATGACCATGGTATTACTATGCCTGCTCCCTGGTGGTAATGGCTCCGTTCTGGTTCTCTCCTCTCCCTATGCTCTCAGAGTCTCTCTCCAGAGTCTTTTCTGGGTCTTCAGACTCTTCCCTTTGGCTCTGACTAGGGATTCAAAACTGGATTTTTCAAAAGACAGAAGAGAAATTTGAATGTCTTGAGAGCTGAGGCAGGAGTGGATGTGCTGCCTCTTCCATCTTGTTCCCATAGCTAAAAGCAATAAATACAGAGAATCTAGGAAGATACAGCCCATATTCTTTTTTCTTTTCCTTAGCAGGAGTCTGCAAATTGTGTCTTTTCAGATCAAAGCTGACCCTCCACCCATCATTGCAGATACAGGTCTGTGGAAACAGTTGGGATTATTAGTTATATATGCTGCTATGGCTGTTTCCACACTGCTATGGAGATCGCACAGATCATGTAGGTCTAAAACATTGACAATATGACTCGTTCTAAAAATATTAATTTTCTGATCCCTATTCTGTAGTTGCTTATCATGGAACAGTTTCTTTATGGGCTGCGCCTAGCAGTCAGGGCCGAGAGGACAGGAGGAGGGAAAGGGCACCTGTAGTCTGTTTTTCCATTGGCAGGTGTAACACTACGGCAAGTTAGCTAAGCTAGACATCCTTGTGTGTAGCCTGTGTAGGTTGCTAGGCCCTGTTAGTTTCAGTACAGGTACATACAGGTAGACAGTCCTGGGAACAGTTTGGAAAGTTTACAATAAGGGAAAATGTCTGGCATACCTGTGGTCAACATCTGGGCACTAGACTGCAGGCCTTGCTAGCAAGAAGCAAGAAGAACCTGAAGCTTCCCATACGTACACAGGCCCTTCCACTGTGTGCGGCCGTCCTCTCCACAAAACGCAGGAAGGAGGAGACACTGAGGCCATAAACTGTGGCAAACTCATCTTTCAAAATCTGAGCTCCCCCTTGCAACTCACCCACCAAGTGGGTCCAAAAAATGGCAGATTGTCTATAGGAAGCAGACTTCATCACTGGCGCTTGTATAGCTGCCCGTAGAATAGAAGCCTGAGGCCCTGTTACCAGGCGATTCTATGAGTTTCTTAGATTCTTTTAGGCTAAGTCTACGCTGGGAAGGTCATCATCACCAGGCTTTAACTTCAGCCTCCAAATAGAACTGGAATGAACCTCCCCTTGGGGAGCGGGAGCCCATTTCTGTGGTGGGTCATAAAGTGCAGTTTATGAGCACCTTGGCCCAGATCCACTCTAGTTTGGATGCATAGTGACCTTGGGCACTGCTGTGTAATATTAATGTTGAAAGGAAGCCATTAAGGCCAGGCTCCTACCAAGAAAATAGCAGTGGAGCAAATTCAAATGACTCCCTCCCAAGTTCCTGCCTCTACCCCAACAACAAGATCACTTTGTTTTACAAGTTAAAAGCTGCAAGGCCACTCTTTTCCTTTGCTAATGAGCAAATCGCTGGGTGCTGGAGAGCAGAGCAGGCAGCAGAGTTTTCAGCTGGCTGGCTCAAGTGCAGAGCC